TGAGGGCAATGAATGTACAAATGTGCTTTACACAATTGATGTGTGTATGGATTGTGATAAGAGTTGTATGAGCCCCTAATAAAATGATTTTTGTTTTAAATGTTGAAAAGCAAAAAAAAAAAGTAACTCAAATTTCACTTATAGGTTTGTTCTTTTCAAGAAAATATCAAAGTTTGATATAATTTTGATTAACAGTTATACTGTCAACTTGTATTTTCAAAGTTTAAAGCAGCATTTAGTGAATGTTTGTTATTTGCTTGCATACATGAACAATAAAAAAATTTTGGATCTAAAAAAAAAAAAAGGAAAGAAAACCAGGTGTTTGTAAGCAAGTGTTTCTGGGAAACTATTTGAGGCAGTTTAAGAGCTGGAGGCAAGGCTAAGGCATGGCTAAGGAAGTCTGTTACTCTGGGATACTAATTAACTCCAAATATTGCACTTAAATTAAGCCAGGAGCTACAAAAAGATTATGGGAGAGGAAGTTTCTGAAGAAGTTTAAGAGAAAAGTATTGCCTTCTGATTGGGGAGAGAGCCTGGGGGGGGGGGGTTCTCTGTACCCCAGCACTCCACTCTTTATAGTAGCTTCACCCCTTATCTCTCTCCCCTCACTTTTCTCTCTTCACTATGGCCAAGTGTGATCGATTACATCATCCAATAGGAGTCCACAAGACTGCTCTTCTTTGTCTCTCTAAGAAAAACTATTTTCTGATAGGGCTCTACTACTCTATGTCCTCAAAAGAGCCCTGGTCGTGTAGTGGTTACGAGCTGGCTGCTAACCCTAAGGTCAGCAGTTCATAAGCACCAACCACTCCTCAGGAGAAAGAGGCGGGGCAGTTCTGCCCTGTCCAATAGGGTCGTGTAAATCGGAAACCACTTGATGGCAGTGAGAGCTGGGTTCTCCAACTTGCCACAGAATGAGAATCCTCAGCTCCTCCCACGGAAGATTCTGATTCAGCAGAATCCGAATATTTAACCAAAGGTCCCCCACCCAAAGTTTGGGAAATACTCTCTCTTCTTCCAAGAATGACACAGACCTTCTGATGTAAGAGGGAAGGTTCTAGCAGTCTTTACATGTTTCTGATTCACTGTTCAATGTTTTAAACTTAGAATAACCACCACGCATCTGTTATCTGCTAGTTTGTCATACTGTGCAGGTTTATGTGTGGCTGGGATGCCAAAGAGCATGCCATCATATTTCAGCTACCAGCAGGGTTGCCCAGAGGGGACCAGTTTCAGCAGAGCCTCCAGACAAAGAAAGACTAGAAAGAGCAAGCTGGTGATCTACTTCTGAAAATTCATCAATGAAAACCCCAAGGAACACAATAAAATGCTGTCTGCTTTAGGGCTGGAAGATGAGCCTCATAGGTGGAAAAACACTCTAAACACACAGGGACCACAAAAGTGAGCTCACATATATGTACCCCAACCATCAAGATGGCCCCGGTCCAGGCAGCATTGTGTTCTGTTTACACGGAGTTGCCAGAAGCCCAAGTCGCCTTGACAACAGCTAGAATAGAGTTGACTTATTTGCAATGTGCAGCAATAAGACGATACGCATCCTCTTTTAAGAGTTATTGATAAGGGAACAAATCAACAAGAGCAGCTTGAACAAGTAAGTAAGAAACTCAAGGGTCAATGAGTTGATAGGACTCGAGGAAGAACAATTCTGAAAAGAAAAATGGCGTCACAACGTGAAGAATGTAATTTCCAAAACCTCCCAAGCCAGTGAGTGGATATCGACTCCTCGGGACCCTACAGACCAGGGCAGAACTGTCCCTGTTGGTTTCTGAGACTGTCACTCTTTATCAGAATGGAAAGCCTCATCCTTCTCCCAAAAGAATGTAAATCGGGGTCACACTAAATTGTCTGCATGGAAATTGGTGAATTGGTGTATGGCCTGTTGTGTGCTTATCAACAAAGATAAAGTATAAAATAATGGTCCCAGCTATCAGTGCCATTAGTATGGTCTATATGCAGCTGAACAAGGTGGCCTGTTGTGGATTCTTGCTGAATTTGTCAAGAATACAGCAAACGACAGGGCCACCTCGCATTCACTTACTGCTCACCAAAGGAAAACTTACAGCAACCAGCTGCTCTTAGAAAGGAAAGCATACCATAGCCAATGTCAGGTGGTCTCTGCTGGTGAAAACACAAATTACTTAGGCCTGGCAGGATTCTGAATTCCGTTTTTATAACCTAACCTTGAGCTTATTTGCTAATTGCTAACGTCTATTTGTACAGCTCTCTTGACCAATTTTGCTTGTTTATGTACATATCTTGGCAAGAGTCATATTTGATTAAAAAAAAAAAACATTCTATTGAGCCAGGCATTTTATGAAATGGATTCTAGAAAGGTTTCTCTACTGGTTTCCTGAGCCCCCAAACCAAACAGAACCCACAGCCTGAGTCAATTCTATCGACCATAGGGTTTCCGAGGCTGTTAAGGAAGCAGGTAGCCTCATCTTCCTTCCATGGAGCAGTTGAGAGGTTCAGACCGCCAACTATTTGGTTGGCAGCCCAGTACTTAACCCTCTGCACCACCCGGCCTCCTTTTGGTTCTCTTGAGGGAATGCTTAAAATTGCTATGATTGTCATAGGTGCAGTGAGCAAGGAAAGAAATTGTGTTGAGTGAAATCACTCAACCAATAACAAAATTATCTTGATTAACCAGCTATTCCCTGATATGCTTGTTTTGAAAGAAAGCCTTGGAAATTGCACTGCTTCCTTGCAGCTCGTGTAAAGGGCACTGAGGAAGAGAGAGGGGCCCAGGGCTTGCAGTTCCAGTGGGTTGTGTCCCTGGTTCTTCCTGTGTGTAACCTTGGAGAATCAACAGTTTCACTTCTCCATGTCAATTCTGTCTTCTATCATATGGGCATCTGGCTAGAAAGAAACATACCCTACCTGACAGGAGAGCAATGAGGAAAAACAGGCAACTTGTCTTGAATATAGGATTCCTCTAGAAGGACTCTGATAAATGAGACTACATTGAGAGTAATATAAATTCTTCCAAGAGAATGATCCAAAATCTCTACCCCCAAACTCAACTTACTCAAGTCTCAAGTGCAGGAAATTATGTTCCAAGGGAAAGGAGAAGTGATCGAGCATCCACAGCGTGCAGTCTCTGACAGGCGCTGGTTTCCCATGCACTCCGGGATCACTATGGTTCTGGGGACTGAGCCTGCTTCCACCACACAGCGTCTCTTGTTTAAGTAAACGCCAAATAAGGATCAAGAACAGCCCACTCATGGCCAAGAACCACAAGTGTGGGAAGGCAACAATCTTAGTGATTCAGATTGGAGCCACGCAAACACAGGTCCCCAGGTGCAGAGACTCCTCTGGGTCTTTCCCTACCCTCATTTCATCTCAATTATTTTAAAAATATATTTTGGGGCATTCCTTCTTGACAGAGTCAAATGGGACCGAAGAATGTCTCACTGACAACTATCCAAGGCTGTTGGTGGATCTGTAGGACTCAAGCATACGATTTCCGAAAGCAAATAAATATACATTAAGATCGAGTCAATTTAATGCATTATCATTTCCGGTGCGGTTTTCTTTGTCTCTTGCCAGGAATGAAGCTAAAACAAAAAGCAAATTATAAAACTGGGAGCTTGAAGTACATAATGCAAGCTACATCTAAATCTAAGTATAATCTTAATGTGCTGAGACAGCTTCTTGACCTGCCCGCGCCCCCCCCCCCCCAAAGTTTTCATTCCAAATTTGCTGCCAGTTTTGATGCAAATGCAATCCATTTCCTGACGCTTGGCCCATGGCTCCAGGGACTGGCATGTGGCCCTCAGAAGGTGTTGTCTATGTTCAGGTTTCTATTGCCAATTCAAGCGTACCTTGTTGGCTAACTGTGGCTCTGATTACAGCAGGGAAGCCCAACCAAGGAAGAAGACACTGTGGAAAAATACAAACTATTTACTTAGTCTAACAACTCCTACTGAACAACAGGTATGCTGCATCCCCAGGAGTCATTGCTCACGGGTGTGGAAAGTTCATGTCACTAGAAAACCAAACGCTGCCTGTTGCATTGAGTACACAGCATGCCCCTTCTGCTCAATAAGAAAATACCCAGCAGACAAGGAACGGAGATGTGCAGGGACGTGGCAGCCAGTCCTTATTCTTTTTCTGTCCCGAGATGGAAAATAAAATCATAGCGTCATCGACTATCCCAGCAAAACTTTAGTCCAATTCAAAATTCATCTTCAGAGCTGTCAGCTAGGAGCATTACTCGGTCTTGCATGCTGTTGAATTCTCGCTGCTAAAGAAAGAAAACAGAAAAACCTGATTAAGCCCTGACACAGAGCAAAGGGCCCCCTTGAGAAGACCCCCTCATAAATGAAGGTGAGGGAGCAGCTGGAATGGTTAATCCCAATCACCGGGCACGTTGATCGTATTCACGCACCATTAGGTCCCAGGGGCTTTATTAAGCAAATTAGATAAGCAAATAACCTGACACTGCTGTCAGTTCCATACCTTCCTCTTATGCCGTTTGAAGCCATTTCTCCTTCGGCGATTCATAACCTTGATGCTGTAAAGCGCTCCCAAGATGAACAAGGCTCCAGCTATCCCAACGCCTACAGGCACCAGCATCCCAGACATATAGCTAGCCTGCATGGAAAGGAAACAGTACTGACCGGAACAGCACCCTGGGATTCTCACTCCTGCTGGAGTGCAGCAGGTTTGTAGATGCTTTGAATCCTCCTGTTTTGCTTTGACATACAATAAAACATAGCATTCTGTTTCAGGGATTCAGGGGCAGTGAATTATTTAAGGTGGTTCTTCTCACCAAAGTCTTAACTCTCACCGAATGACCTTTCCCTACATGGGTCTGGTAAGAAAGTGGGGTAAGATGCTGACAGGATTCACCAGTGAGTAACTGGCAACAGGATTTCCTGGAGTACCATCTTGCTGTGTGTAAAATGAGCCCTTTGAGAAGCAGGAAGAGGGATCCCATTACCAGCCAGAGGCAGAATGGAGCGAATGCTCTGCACAGTGAATCTCCTGGATCCAGAAAACAGCTCTACCATCAGAGGAGCAGCAACAGAATCAGAACCCAGAGCTTGGAACAAAGTGATGGATTTCCCAACCTATGGAGCAAGGAAAGCTGAGTGCTTTCATGCAGTAGGCTGGCTTGCAGAGTAGGGTGCCTCTGGGCACTTAATTGGGGAAGTTGGATTGGCTGTATTACCGAAGTGGCATTGGCTACCCTTGGGCTGAGGCTGAGTGGAATGAGGTGACTCTGGCACTGAATTCAAGGAGTTGGGTTTGCTGACCCAGGGAAATTGAACTGAATGCCATTGGATTGAGTGGTATGCCCCTTTGGACATTGATTAGCAAACTGAAAAAACTTGGTAACATGTTCTGATCAACAAATCAACCCTGAGCATTTCTCACTGGCATTATAATTTGTTGACTTCCTTACTAAACCCATTAAGCATGAATTTTGTGAGTTCTTTGTAACCATTACAATTAATATTAGAACCCAGAGAAGTAAAATAATTAAGACCATACAAGGGAGAAGACATCACAAAGAGGTGGGGTTATTATTTGATATTTCAAACTTGGAGTAAATCAGCCAGACCTAGTGGCACTTCCCAACCCCCCTTGCATGTTCACATTGGCCAACAGCAGTTTGGGATGACAGCTATATATTTCATATGGGTGGTATAAGCTTCCAAAGGCTAGAACTATTAAGATGTTATCATTAGGAAAAAGGTCAGTCTGAGTGGTCGAGGAGTTCATGTGTCCTCTGGAATCCTGTGTTTCTTTGAGGGCAACAGGGCCGTGGCATGAATTATTGATACAATTGTTCCCCACCCCCACCTCTAAAGAATATATGTTGACATCCCAACCCTGTTTCTGTGGCTGTAATCCTATTGGGAAATGGAGTTTTTCTTCTTATATGAACAAGGTCATCCCAGTGCACTCACATCTGAGTTGTAAAAGAAAGTTAGCATGGTCACCAACAGATGGGAAGACCATCAACAAGACCAGGAACTACAGCCACGAAAGGAGTGGACATGATCAGGACCCTGCTTTGGATGCTCAGAAATCGACTTTCTGCTTCTGAAAGCCTCCCACTTGCTGCCCTTGGATGATAACAGCCCCAGAGCACCAGGCCCCCGTGGGGGGTCTTCTCTCTCCTTCTGAATCAGCTGCACTTGAGAAAGGAGAGCAGAATGTGCTTGTAAACCAGCAATAGGTGGACGCACCTAGAAACAGCAGGGAAGAAAAGACCGGGAAAGAAAGGAGCGGGGACTCTGAAGACCAGGCAGGAAAGCAAGGCCAAGGAGAAGCGCATGCACATGCGTGGATGAATTAAGGGACGTGAAAAGGGGCAGATCTCCCCAGGGGGCAAGAACAAAGCTGGGGCTGGGAGAGAATTTCCAGTGTGCCAGCCTCAAGGAAGAAAAGTGGAAAGAAGGCACAAAGATTGTCACCTCCAAGAGAGACGGGAGGTTTCAAATGCATGGTGTCCCCACGGTTCCTAAAGCATCACTCTAGATACCTGGATGCTACAGGCAGTTATGAGTCACCACCCATCCTTGGACTTGGGTAAGGATCTACTCTTGAACTTGGGACAAGGCCATCATGCTAAGACTGCACCCCGGTCCTTGGCCAGTGTGTTTGGTCAGGTTGACTAGAGAAACAAATCCAGTGACACTCACATGTGTCAGAAAGAGCTTTCTATCAAGGAGTAATTATAATCAAGAAAACATCCCAGCCCGGTCCAACTCAAGTCCCTAAGTCCCTCTTAAAGACTCATGCAGCCACATGCAATGATGCAGAATACAGGAGGATCACAGCTGCTGGGTGAAAAGTCAAGTAGATCCAGGGTCAGTGAAAATATCTCAGGGCCATGGCAGCTCTCAGAGTGCCCAAAAACAGAAAGGGAAAGGCAGAGAAATGGAAGCCCCCCCTGGCCCTCCTTAAGAGGCCATGCCCACAATGAGGCACCATGAGACTGTGACCTGATCGACAGGTTGGATACCACCCCTACAACTTTTATATATCTTCAAGTTGACATAAAAGTATGTAACGACCACAGTTAGTGAGAATGTATCAGTAGGCACTACATAGTTTCTGAGACTATAAATCTTTACTGGAAGAGACAGCCTCTTCTTTCTCCTGGGAGCCGCTGATGGTTTTAAACCACCTGCCTTGTGGTGAGCAGCCCAGCACTTAACCCACAGTGCCACCAGGGTTCTTTTAAACTAAAAAAAAAAAAAAAAAAAATCCACCAAGTTGATTCTGACTCATCAGGACCCTATAGGGCAGAATAGAACTGCCCCGTGAGTTTCCAAAACTGTAACTTGTAGAAAGTCTCATCTTCCTTCCACAGAGCAGCTAGTGGGTTCAAACTGCTGACCTTTTGGTTAGCAGGCCAATGCATAGTCCACTACACTACCAGGGCTCCTTAGACAGGAATTATTTAGGAGAAGTAGTGACAGAGCATGATGTTATTTGAGTGACTGAAATTTTTTATGTAGCCCAGACTATTTCTAGTATTTCAGAAGGAGCAAAATCAGAGACAGAGAATAAAGTTTTCTGAAAAGTATTGCACTATGCAGTCTGTGACGCTTTGCCAACATTCAGAGAAGCAAGCCAAAGACCCCAGGACTAGACCTTACCAAAAGTTCACCCCGGTTCTGCCTCCCACGGTCTCGTTAGGGTAGACTGTGGGCATTTTCCATTAATTTGAGAACCACAGCAGTGTTCAGCAGCATACTAAGTGGTTTTCCCCAAGAAGCAAAGCCCAGTCATCTTTCAACAAATTAAAATGAAAAAAAAATTAAAATGCCCTGCAGAGGCCCGAACCTTTTCTAAAGCTCTTCCAGATCCACTCAAGCTCATAAAATCTCTGTAATTTTCCACGTGGAAAGATGCTGGAAAGAACGTTGTAGTGGTCTGACCAGAACTGTGAATCTCCACCCCACCCCACCCCACCCCCACCCCCCGGCAAAAAAAAAAAAAAATCACCATTCCCAGTGCATGGAGGCGTGTATGTCCACGTTGACATGTAACACACTTTGAGCCCATTGGATTTAGGCTTTACAGATTTGTACGCCCTAAGGATGATATTCAAGCTTCTAGAAGATCAACTTATCAACTCCTGTGTGAGCTTCCTGCTGGAACTTAACCCCACACCATAACATTTATATGAGGGAATGGTGGTATCTTAATTAATGTTGGGCTGCTTAACTACAAGGTTAGCAGTTCGAAACCACCGGTCTTAGAAATGCCCCCGGACAGTGTTCCCTGTCCTAGAGGGTTACCATGTATCGGCATAGACTCCACAGCAGTGACTTTGGGTACTTATCTCCCTGGGTTCTAGTACTCATTGCAATGGATACACAAAACTCAAAGATAAAATTCATGATTTAAGAGTTTATTATGGAAGTTAACAAGTTGAAATGCCAACCAGAAATGCTCAGGGTAGCGGTTTACTAGGACATACTACAAAGTTTCGGGTCTGCTAAATAATGCCCAAAGGGGCATACTACTCCACCATAAACCTCATCCGGAAGACTTTCAGATCAAACTCCATGAGTCAGCAAACCCAGCTCCCTGAATTAAATGCCCAAAGGCACCCCACTCCAGTTAGCCTAAGCCCAACTGCACTCAGTTCCCTTCCAGGGGTCAGCAAGCCCAGCTTTCCCAATTAAGTGCCCAGAGGTACTCCACTCCACAAGTCTCCTGTACCAAAATCTTTACTTGTTCTGTGGGTTGGGAAGTTCACCACTCTGTTACATGTTGGCAAAATTCACCACTCCTGGTTCCGCTGCTGCGCCTCCGATTGTATAGCTGTCTCTGGATCCAGGAAATTCACTGCACAGGACCCTAAAGTCCAGAGGGCATGCTCCATTCCTGGCTCTTGCAGGTAGTGAGATCCCTCTTCCTGCTTCTCAGAGGGCTCAATATATGTATATGGCAGGATGGCACTCCAGGGAATCCTGTTCCCAATTATTCACAGGTAAATCCCATCAGTATATTCCCCCACCTTTTACCAGAACATTAAATAATTCACTGAGCCTGAAGAAAATTCATGAAAAAATTCCATTATCTTTTCATTCAGTTTTCCATGGATTTTCTAAGCCCCCTTGTATTCCAAAATACACCGCTCTTCCCATATTTCTTATTTGCACATTTAGACTTCTTGGGTGTTAAATCATGGACATTTCATTAAATTTCAGTTATCATTTTTCTCTCCTCTTGACTTTGTCTGGGGGGGGGGCATTTGCCTGTGCTTTGAAATGACACATAAATTACATGCTGGGAACAAAGCAACCTTATCCTCCTCAGATTTAATTGAACTGTTCCTCTTTTTCAAACCTGACAAAGAAAATAACCTCTTCATGTAGAATTGTTTATAGAGAAATAAAAGCAAGACAGCATGCACATATTCTGTAAGTTATTGAGTCTCCATCGTCACTTTCTCTGGTTCATCAGTATGAGATGTGCAGGGGAGTCCAGGTGTGATAGTCTGAGAAGAATTTGACCAGAAAAGCAGAACTTCGGTTTCATCAAGAGGAAATTTCCAAAAAACCTAGCACAAGGAACATTCCACTACATTTTTTTTCATTGTTTAAAACTTTTACTGTCATAAA